CAACAGTTGATTTTTATCAGCCACAGTTGCAAAACTGAGGCTGAGCCACACCACAGCCCTCATCCACCAACCCAGGGGGCCCCTCCCCCCATGCCCTCTGAGATCTATCACTACAGAGTCCCAGGGGGATCTGAGCAAATGCTACCAAAACTGTCCCTAACACTGACAAAAACTGAGACTGAGCACAGTGAGCATGATTAAACATCTACAAGAAAAAAAAGACATGATTAAGATTTTATATAAAGCACAGATCCAAGAGGCTTAGACACCACCTACTGGAAACCAAAAGAAAAAAACCTTCTTTGCAAAAGGCTAGGGATCATTATATAATAAACCCTCTTTCTGGAAAAAAGGAAAAAAAAAAAAGCAGAACACACTTCCATTAATGCCTAGGCAGAGAAATAATCCATTAAACACCATGAACAACAAGGTGACAAGTCATCTCAGAAAGAAAGAGAAAAATCTCCAGAAAATAAGCTTACAGACATAAAAATATGCAACTTAAATGACAGAGAATTCAAGATGGTACTTCTGAAAAGCTTGATGAGATCCAAAACGAATCATATCAACAATTTCAGGAATTAAAAAAACAACTAGATGAGCAGAATGAGTTCTTTAGCAAGGAAATTGAAACCCTCAAAGCGAACCAAATAGAACTTCTGGAGATAAATAACACACCGCAAGAGTTGAAAAATGAGAGAGAAAACTTGGGAAATAGAGTTGACCAAATGAAGGAAAGGATCAGTGATATCGAAGAGAAAAATCTAGAAATAAATCAGAAGGAATAAGAGAGAAACCAAAGAATGAAAAACAATGAAAGAGAAATTCAAGAACTAACTGATACCATCAAGAGAAGAAACGTAAGAATAATGGGCATTGTCGAAGGCAAGGAAAAGCAGCAAGGATTAGAAAGCATTTTCAGACAAATAGTAGGCGAGAATTTCCCAAATGAAAGGAATGAGCTGGAGATGAAATTCAAGAAGTCAACAGAACACCCAATTGTCTCAACCCATAAAGGCATTCACCAAGACACATTGTATTAAAATTATCAAAAATCAACAACAAAGACAGAATTCTCAGGGCAACCAGGGAAAAGAAGACGGTAACCTATAAAGGAAAACCCATTAGATTATCATCAGACTTCTCAGCACAAACCTTATAAGCCAGAAAGGAGTGGAATCAAATATTAAAACTATTGAATGAAAGGAACTACAAAACCTAGAATAATGTGTCCACCTAAGTTCTCCTTTAGATATAAAGGAGAAATAAAGACCTTTCCAGACATACAAAAATTGAGAGAATTCTCCACTTCGAGGCCTGCACTACAGGAAATACTGAAAGGGGTCAGCTCACCTAAAAATAAAAATGACAAAAAACCCCCACATAATTAGGAGTAAGGTGATTAGCAGGCTGATAAAAGCAGAGAAGTGCAACTGTTACTAGAAATAAGACATTGTAAGCTTAAAAAAGGAAGAGATTAGCTGTAGCAAGATAGTGATGAATGTTCAGCATACATAGGGACAGATTGAGACGACAATGACTGAAAAGGGGAGGATTCAAAGATCCAAATTCACAAAGGGGAATGGAGATAAGGCATGTGCAGAAGAAAATGGACGACTGTCTATAAATAACTATGCTTTACATATTCATAATGATAACCACACGCCAAGGATTCAGAACTGAAGTATATAACATAAAAAAAAAAAGGGACCACAGGAAAAACCCACAAAAGCCAATGAAAATAAAGAAAACAGAAACACAAGGGCAAGGAAGCAATGGAAACACCACTACCAGAAAGCAAAACATAAAATGGCTATAAGAAGACCTCATATTTCAATAATCGCCCTAAATGTAAATGGACTGAACTCACCAACACAAAGGCACAGAGTTGCAGATTGGATCAAAAAACAAAACCCAACCACATGCTGCCTCCAGGAGACACATCTCAGTTCCAAAAAAATAGAGAGAGAGACTCAAATTGAAAAGGTGGAAAATATATTTCAATCAAATGGCATTCGAAGAAAAGGGGGAGTAGCGGTACTACTATCAGATGAAATAGACTTCAAAATTAAAAAAAAATCTAAAGAAAGATACTGAGTGACACTTCATAATCATAAAGGGAATTATGCACCAAGAAGACATAACACTTATTAATATTTATGGTCCCAATCAAGGAGCCCTGAAATATGTAAAGCAATTACTAATAGAACTAAAGAGAGAAATAGACCAAAATACTATCATAGTAGGGGACCTAAATACCCCACTGTCGGATATGAACAGATCATCTAAACAGAAAATCGATAAGGAAATAACATTCTTAAATGGCATATCAGACCAACTTGACTTAATTGAAATCTACAGAGCTTTCCATCCCAAAAGAGCTGCTTATACATTCTTCTCTAGTGCAAACGGAACATTCTCACTAATCGACCACATACTGGGACACAGAGATAACCTCAAGAAATATAAGAGGAGGCGATACTTACCAACTCATTTCATGAGGCCAATATCACCCTGACCAAAACCTCATAAGGATAACACACAAAAAATAAACTGCAGACCAATATCTCTCATGAACACAGATACAAAAATCCTAAAAAGATACTAGCGACATATTAAAAATATTATGCACCATGATCAAGTGGGTTTCATCCCAGAAGCATAGGGATATTTCAACATATGCAAATCAATTAATGTGATACAGTACATAAACAAATTAAACAATAAAAAACATATGATCATATCAATAGATGCATAAAAAGTCTTCAACAAGATATCTCATGCATTTATGAGCAAAACGCTTAACAAAATCAGTATAGAAGGAAAGTACCTTAACATAATAAAGGCCATATATGACAAACCCTCAGCCAACATTATACTTAATGGTGAAAAACTAAAAATCTTCCCTCTAAGATCAGGAACAAGGCAAGGCTGTCCACTATCACCACTGTTATTCAATATAACTTTGGATGTCATAGCAAGTGCAATCAGGCAAGAGAAACATATAAAAAGCATCCAAATAATAAACGAAGAAGTCTAACTGCCACTGTTTGCACATGTCATGATTCTCTATATAGAAAACCCTAAAGACTCCACAAGAACACTACTAGAAACAATAAGCAAATATAGTAAAGTTTCTGAATACAAAATCGATGTTCAAAAATCCACAACGTTCCTATACTCTAATAATGAAGTGTCAGAAAAGAAGTGGAAAAAATAATTCCTTTTGCAATTGCAACAAAAAGAATAAATACCTAGGAATAAATTACACGAAACATGTGAAGGACCTATCAAAGAAGATGAAATGGAAAGATATTCTGTGTTCTTGGACTGGAAGAATCAACATAGTTAAAATGACCTTACTACTTAAAGCATTATACAGATTTAATGCAATGCAATTCCAAATCCATTGGAATTTTTTAAAGAAATAGAACAAAAAATCAGCAGATTTGTATGCAAGCACAAAAAAACCCTGAACTGCCAAAGCAATCCTGAGAAAAAAGAATGAGCCTGGAGGCATCACTCTGCCCGACTTCAAATTATACTACAAAGCGATAATAATCAAAATGGCATGATACTGGCAGAAACACACACACACAAACACACACACACACACACACACAC